CCCCAAAACCCCAAAACCCCAAAACCCCTATTGATAAGTTTAGCTAGTAATTTGATTAAATTCGAAATTATGTTTTCAGCTGCTAATTTAATTTAAACTCAAAATGGAAGTCAATTTTTTCCCTCAAAAATCTTAATCACTATTAGTTACTAGGAAAAGAACAAGAGCTCAATTCAAAGAAGACTCTCAAAAATTAATTAAAAAAGTCAAACCATAGACAACTTCTTCAACAAAGATTAGGCCGAGGCCTCTGATTATAAGGGTAAAGTCAAAATATGAAGAAGAAAACAAGCAATCGAGCTCAGTTTAAAATAAGGAAACAAACACCAAAGCTAAATCAACTAGGCAAAGTAACCTCGTTGAGTTTTTCTAAAGAAAGAAATGCAAAAATTCAGAGTGCAAACAAGATTTGCAAGATGCCTAAATACTGTGTGAAATCTGTAATGATAGCTATCATTGGTAATGTACGGGCTAGTTCAAGTAACCTCCTTCGAATACTGAGGAGTTTATCTGCAAAACTTGTTCGGCTGTGGTAAGAGAGGGGAAAAAGCTTAGATAATAAAATTAATATGACTTGGTAATTGAATGCTTTGAGTGCAAATCAGATCTATCAGAAGACACAAGGAAATGTGTTAAATGCACAAATTAGTTTCACTCAAAATGCTTTAACAGAAAGGAGTCATCTCCTTTATGCAGTAAATGTTTAGAAATATACGAGCTTGAAGGAGAAGAAGTCTTTCCAAAGATAGCAATAGCAGATTCTTTAGTTTAATCCCCCTTGATTTCTGTGAAATCCAGTAAAAATATGAGAAATTTGTAATTGACTAACTTCTTCAAGTAATCGAAGAATGCAAGCTCAACTTACAACATAGTAGCGTACACTCCAACATAAAGCTAAATTTACGGAGAAATATATTCCTAGGATATGATTAAAAAGCCTCAAAGAAAGAAGTCTCTCTCTCAAACCAGAAAGAAGAATATATTCAAGTTGCCTAAACTTACTGATGATCCAATTCTTGAACAAGAGATCAGAAACTCTATTAGATTAGGGCTATTTGCCAAGGGCATGAAATACACTCATTAGCAAGTATTTGATGACCCTAAGTGTCCCTAGTCTATGAACAACCCTGAGTTAGAAAGGAATATTCAAAAAATGATCAAAGAGAATTAATAGGTTATCTACGAGCTGAGAAAAAGAGAGTAGTTAGGCATTTTACCTCCAGTATTGATTAAATATGATCCAGCTTAAGGCTTTTATGTTGAAGCAGCCTAAGATATGAGCGATCTTACTTTGATCTGTGAGTATGCAGGGGAAGTTCGAACCTTCAGATAATGTCTTTTTGATAAAAATGACTCAATCATGGAGTTGCTCGATACTGGTGATTCCGATACTTCACTCAACATTGTACCGCAAAAGCAAGCTAATGTTGGTAGATTTTTCAACTCAATAAATAACAGTAGTAAGGATTCCAAGAAGAAGTAAAACATCAGGAGTCTCCGATGTCAGATTGATGGAAAAGTAACTGTGCTGATATTTACAAAAAGACCTGTCAAAAAAGGAGAAAGCTTACTTTACAACTACAATGAAGCCAAGAATTTGTATCCCACAGAAGACTTCATTTGAAGATATTGCTAGAAAATAGTTAATAATTTGAGATTATAAATTTTGTGAATTTAGTTAAATTTGAATTATGACTTAAGTATCTCTCATCTTAATTAAATAACTCCAATAAGTTAATTACTGATATTTCCTCAAATTCATTCTACCTTTACAGCTGATAGAATGAAACCACTAGCTCCATGCATATTCATGTTTGGATGAGTTCTCATTGGAAGCACCTAATATTCTCTAGTCCAGAGCTCTTCAATCTTAATGTTCACTGCCTTTTTATTTGTAAGTAGATGATCTTTCAACTCAGCTAATGACTGAATATAAAGTGAAAAAACAGCAATACTGGCAGAAGGTTAAATTAAATGCTCGATGTGATTGTACATTTCAACCTAATTAAAATCTTCATGCACCATAATCATGCTATTGTAGTGTTTAGTTTTGGTCTGTATGATTGCATTTAGGAGGCTGTCGCTTTGAACTATAGACTAGTCCAAGTTAGTATGATGAAGGTACTAAATACGCTTAACTTTGTCAGGCTTATAGTTATATTCTAAGAAAATTTCATTCTATAGTTTAAGTTGATGCCCTGTGAATTCAACATGCAATATCTCTCTCACATCCTTCTCGATTAATGCTCCAGTAAGTAGACCTTTTGTCTTGTCTAATAGTATGACTCTACTTTCTTGATTAATATTGGCCATATTTAACAGTAGTGCTAGTGAATCTGCTCTCAGACCCATTATTTTGGCTGGCTGGGTTTATGAGTATACATTACACAACTCTAGAGCAGTTGGTTTTTTCAATTGGAATGTTATTTGATACTTCTACTTTTTCTTTCTAAGATATTTTTCCTGTGAGAACTTTGTCCTTTTGCTAAACGTCTCTGAGTTCTAAACTAACTACTGAATCAACTCATTACCAGACATGCCTTGTTTCTTAAGTGCTTCTATTTCCTCATGAGATAATTTCTATGATTTATTGTCATCTACATAATCCCTATTATCTCTACCAGCAACTGGATCGATAATCTCTTTGACTTCTTCGTTCTCCTCTGCATCTCCAAAATCGACATCTTCTAAGAATTGATTAGTTAGTTGATGCACATCAGTGACCTCAATCAGCTCTCCTGACTTGCTATCCCTAACTTCGAAGAACTGACCATATTCCTTTCCAATCAACTGACCCAAATCAACCATAGCTTTGAAATGCTTTATCTTCCTTAACATGCTTGATGCAAATATATAACTTACTTGCTTTTAATTTTGATAACTCTTGAGTTTCCAGAGTTATCAACCAAAATGGCATTGTCACCTTCCTTAATAACTTGTTTGCTATCCATCTTATAAATATATATCTATTTATTTTAATAGGCTATTATAAACTTAATAATAGTATATTTTTATTATAATGGTAGAAAAGAAACCAGAAGATCTTGATAAGACTTTCAAAGACGCCCAAGACTTCATCCAAAACTATAAAGACCCTAAGGTTTCGCTGAATAACAATGAGAAACTTAGATTCTATTCTCTTTATAAGCAAGGGACCTTTGGAGAGTGCACTGGTAAGAATTCAATTTAAGGAGTTATAATTAGTATTTTAGGACCATAACCATCAAGACTAAAGCTTATTGAGAGAGCAAAGTATGATGCTTGGAAATCACTCGGAAAGATGTCCTCAGAGGACGCCAAGAAAACTTTCATCGAGGAACTTAAGAAAAAGATCCCTGCCTATGCACCGAAACTCTGAGGAAAAGTGCATCAAGATATTGATACAGTTCTTCACCAATTTAACATCCAAGTTGATATTTATTGAATAAGTTTAGATAAAACGTTCTCTATTGATTTTGTATCTTTATTTATCAATTTATTGAATGATTTGTTGTTGGAGCATAAATAAATTAAAGATGTAAAAGGCTCAGATAAATGGTTCTGCTCTCATTAAAATGCTTCTACCTAAACTCGAATCAAGCATGTATAAGGGATAAAATGGCAAAATACTTGTAATTGGAGGATCCAAAGAATATACTGGAGCTCCTTACTATGCTGGAGTGTCTAGTTTAAAAGCAGGAGGTGATATTGCTCACATAATATGTCCAGAAGAAGCATCGATCCCAATAAAGAGTTATTCGCCAGAGCTGATAGTGCATCCCTGTTTAAATGACATTTAAGAAACATTGAAATGGATGGATGCTTGCACCTCAGTAGTAATTGGTCCTGGCTTAGGCAGAGAAGAAAAGCTAGGGTAAACACTGAATGAAATCATAGACAAGGTATAAGATAACAAGTAGTTAAAGCTAGTTGGAGATGCAGATTTTTTATGGTTTATTTCACAATCTAGTCATAAATTCGTCATTTAAGAGTAAGAGTATTGAAGTAATAATTACATACATAGGCAAATTAAATAGTTGGGGAAATAAGTTATCTTGACTCCAAATATAGTAGAGTTTCAGAGATTTATGCATCATGAGTACAATATCAAAGAGTATCAAAAGCTTGAACTAGAGTTTTTCGAGAGCAATAGAAATACTTGTGGAATACTTGACAATGATGAGGTAATTAATAAAGAGGTTGCTCAATTATCAAGGGCATTTAATAACTGCATCATTTTAAAGAAAGGAGTTGTGGATATTATAACTGATGGTGTAACATCTTATTATGTAGCAACAGAAGGAAGTCTCAAACGATGTGGTGGCTAAGGGGATATTTTAAGTGGAGTCCTGGGAGCTTTTGTGAATTATTCAGAAAATCTGCCCTCTGATTAGTTTGAGTAATCTCAGAAATCATTGCTCTCAGTAGTTGCAGCATCACATGCTACGAGACTGATTAGTTATGCAGGCTATTTAGACAAGACTATTAGTTTGACAGCGCCTGATATAATCAACAATATGAGTTAAGTTCTGGGATAATTTTATAAAATGTGATTTCTAAAATTGTAAATAAGTTAGCAATATTAAATGGACGGATTAATAAATTTAACAATAATTTTCATATTTTAAAATTCCTAATAATCAAAATGTCAAAGAAAGAATAGTACGTTTGAGAAACAATGATTATGAAATTTATAGTGACCATCTCTTCAAGCTAGTGCTTTTAGGTGACTCCTGTGTTGGCAAATCATGTCTTCTTGTCAGATTTGCTGTAATTTAGATTTCGATAGTATAATCATATAGGATGATGAATTTTTTGAGAATTACATATCGACAATTGGTGTTGACTTTGTAATCGAACTTATTATTGCACTTCATTTATTAAAAACTTATTTAGAGATTCAGGAGTCTTGTTCATCTTGACAAAAAAGTCAAACTTCAAATCGTAACCATCAATCCATCTCTTTAATAATGTATAGTGGGATACTGCTGGCCAAGAAAGATATAGAACAATTACGAACGCTTACTACAGAGGGGCTGACGGTATAATTCTGGTATTCGATCTCTATAAGAGAGATTCATTCAATAACTTGCATTCTTGGCTAAAGGAGGTCGAAAAGCATGCTAAAAACGATGTGCATATAATAATCATTGGCAACAAAGCTGACAAGGAGGAACCTGCTGAGGTGACTGAAGCTGATATGCAGAAGTTTACAGCTGATACTGGAATTCAAATCTACACTGCCAGTGCTAAGTCGGGCAAAAATGTTGAAACTTCATTCCTAACCATAACATCTTCCTTGATCTAAAAGTATAATTCATGATTATTAAGGATTTAGGGCTTAATCAAATGCTAGAGAAAGCTTATATGGGTAGAATAATGCTGGAAGTCCAAGAAAAATGAAAGAAAATAAGCCTGCGAAGCTAAGGGAGAACAAAGAAGTCACTATTGATAAATTAACTACATGCTGCAATTGAATTATCAAATTAATCTCATTATGTTGTTGAAATTAAACTTACGGGGTTTTGGGGTTTTGGGGTTTTGGGG